TTGTAAAGCTAATTTTTCGATATTGGGATATATTATTCCAAGCGAATGTAAATTTATAGTTTTCTGATGTAAACAGTTGGACACATTTCTCCCATCAATACAGTCTCATTACTAGCTCGCTTGCTTTGGCTCTGTTGGTGTCCCATGGATTTTATTTTGGGAGAAAAGAGAAATAGATAGGATGAATAGCTGTGCTGTGAAAAATGTTCACACATGTTCTGTGTTTAGTTTAAAAACAGTTTAATGACGTCTTTCTTAGAAAATGTTATGATAAATAAAAATTATCTTCATGAAATCTTTCAAAATAAGTCATTACAAGCCAATTAAGATCGTCATGTAAATAGTTTAACTATTCAGAAATCCTTCTTCTACATCCGTAAAATGCAAAACTTGTCATGGTTTTAATATTTAGACTACTTAGCACAATTTGCTATTTATATATATCGAATGAACAGATACAAAGTGATATTTATATATATCGAATGAAAAGACACAAAGTGATATTTATATATATGTAGAATAAAGGCACAATTTGATATTTATATCTATCAAATGACAAGATACAAAGTGATATTTATATCTATCAAATGACAAGATATACAAAGTGATATTTATATCTATCAAATGACAAGATATACAAAGTGATATTTATATCTATCAAATGACAAGATATACAAAGTGATATTTATATCTATCAAATTACAAGATATACAAAGTGATATTTATATCTATCGAATAAAAAGATACAAAGTGATATTTTAATATATCGAATGAACAGATACAAAGAGGTATTTATATATTTATAGAATAAAGGCACAATTTAATATTCATATCTTTCAAATGACATGATATACAAAGTGATATTTATATCTATCGAATGAAAAGATACAAAGAGTTATTTATATTTATATAGAATAAAGGCACAATTTGATATTTATATCTGTCAAATGAAAAGATACAAAGTAATATTTTAATATATCGAATAAACAGATACAAAGAAGTATTTATATATTTATAGAATAAAGGCGCAATTCAATATTTATATCTATCGAATGACAAGATACAAAGAGTTATTTATATATATATATATATGTAGAATGAAGGCACAATTTAATATTTATATCTGTCAAATGAAAAGATACAAAAAAGTATTTATATCTTTCAAATGGCAAGATACAAAGTGATATTTATATGTATGTAAAAGGCATAATTTAATATTTATATCTATCAAATGGCAAGATACAAAGTGATATTTATATGTATGTAAAAGGCACAATTTAATATTTATATCTATCAAATGACAAGATACAAAGTGATATTTATATTTATCGAATGAAAAGATACAAAGTGATATTTTGATATATCGAATGAACAGATACAAATTGATATTTCAATATATCGAATGAACAGATACAAAGAAGTATTTATATATTTATAGAATAAAGGTGCAATTCAATATTTATATCTATCAAATGACAAGATACAAAGTGATATTTATATATATCGAATGAAAAGATACAAAAAGTTATTTATATATATATATATGTAGAATAAAGGCACAATTTGATATTTATATATGTCAAATGAAAAGATACAAAGAGGTATTTATATCTGTCAAATGGCAAGATATATTTATATGTTTGTAAAAGGCACAATTTAATATTTATATCTGTCAAATGAGAAGATACCAAGTGATACTTATTTATACAATATAAAGGCACAATTTAATATTTATATCTATCATTCATTCATTCATACGAGAAATGTACAAATTCTACCTGGCCTAATTTTGGACAAATTTAACCTTCTATGTAAAGTAGCATTTTTGCACTGTTTTAAGTAAGAAATATTTTGCTGTGAAAAATACAAAACATTGAGAGCGGCAATAAAAAAAGTGTGTATCACCGAATCATAACGCGACATCGAATTCTTGAAGATAATTTGAGATATAATAAAAAAAACAGATCAAGAAATTCCATGATATATATCAGATTTGAAATATCAACAAGGAATTTCTTTCAAATTATAAAAACATAATTTCAACATTAGAAACTGCATTCCAAGAAGTAAATAAGCCGATTTTGCAAAATTATTAATGGCTATTCAACAAAAATCTCAAATAAGAAAAAATTATCAAAATATGAATAAAAATGATAAAAAGCATACTTACGTTCAACAAAGACACTCTCTTTTTCTTTTAATTTCTATCCAATTAATATCTTAACTTCATTTATGAATAAAAACATACGAGATATTCCGCATATATTACCATGGAATTGGCGAGCTCCGCCCAGTCACGCGCTTAAGGCGGAGTTATAGAAGTCACGTGAACAAATTGAATCAAAAAGTATGAATGAATGGTGATAATAGATGAGACAAATTTTCCACAAAAAAAAAAATCCGTTTTAACTTTGCCGGAACTCTTTTATCAGATTTACAGGAACATTTTCAACAAAATTTTCATAAATTCAACAAATTTCTATGAAGAACGAATAGTTCAAATTAGTATAATCAAAATAAAAAGACTAGTCTTTTTTGACCGATTTCTGTGGGAAATATTTTGACTCAAGGATGTAAACTGAAGTTTTTTTTTTTAGTTCAAAATACGGTGTGACATGTTAACGTCTTTAAGAAACAACTTTGTCAACTTAAAGAACTGTAAGTTACGGATTTGGTATATACGTCAGTGACTATACATTTACATAACCATGACTATATGACTATTATCAGCATAAAATTGCTTATAATTTTCCCCTACCTTATTCTTCAATTTATGATAAGCACATAACAAAATCCTTTATAAGGCCACCCAGATTTCTCTCAACGTGAGAGATGTTTAAAAGAGCTGGTAAATAAATCCCAGTGCCATCAATGGGATCATTGATCTCGAAAGATTTTGGGCCCCTGCATCTGTAGACCTATTTCGGAACGCTCGAAACACCAGTTCCGCTCTGAACGCTGAAAACTGCAGAATCTGCGATACTATAGAACGAAATATAGTTCATATATGAAAAACTCTGGAATTTTTGTCTGGAGGCTTTAGTCTTTGATGTCTTTTAGTCATCCGATTATGTCAAAGTGCTTCCGCCTCTCGACAAAAGAGATTATCTGATACGGACTATATAGGACATCAAAGGCCATCTTTATTTATTTTTGGATTATTGCCCCTTTAATAATGTTTATAAATGAACGATTTTCCCAAATAGGTTCCTTGGATTATAAAAACTTTTCCTAAAATTGGTTTAACTTGAAGTTTGTAGGCCTATAGCTTTGACTTGATGTTGTAATTAGTTAAAAGTTGATTTCGAGCATTTTATTGCCTTATAGACTAAATTGACAGGAACCATGAAAACGTCTTTGATGGAAATCTTTACTGTCTAGCTCCAAAACTCATCATTTTACAAGTGATTTTTATACTCAGAAGGAAAATGTTTGGCAGACATTTATCTAGGATGACACCTTTAAATAATGCAAATTCGTGTAATACCTATATAGGGCCTAAATAGTGCGCGTTATACTTATAGTCTACTTAGTATATTAGTCTTATATAGGCAATATTCATAAAGAAAATTTTAAGATTTTTTTAATGAAATTTCATTCATACGAAATTGTTTAATAAATTATTTACGAGGCCACATCAAGATAGATAACTTAAATATGCACTTAAGGCCTATAGTTTAGGGTCTATGACCTATCTAAATTGGTTGATAAAACATGGTAAATACGAACGCGATATGTTTTCTAAATATTTCATTAGGACAAAAGAATCACTGTTATTCAAAGATTGACACGCGCATGTAATAAATTGCTCATTATATAATGTTGAAGAAAAGCTGTTTGAATAGTTTTTATCATAGACATCATTGAAGATGTAGAAGAGCGCGTGTCCGGAAGTGTTGATTCAATAGTAGCGTCGTGTTGCCATAGTAATATTATATGGAATATCATACAGGTGTGTACAGTGTTTGATTTCTGTTTCACCGTTTCTGATCACACCTAACATAATTAGATTTGTTAATATTGTAATCATTATGTTAAATGACGTTTAAATCAAATATCGCCCGATATCAATCTCTAAACGCCTAAATCATGACTTGTATTCAATCAAATCCATCTGTGACTCAGAAGAAAAACATTCTTAGCCACACGGAATTGATTGTATTCGCCGACTTTTCCCAGCAAAAGAGATGTTCGGTAACATACGCCCATAGTTTGATAATCATCATAGGCTATAGGCCTGGGACATAGTTGCAGGTCATTCAGAATCTGGACACGCCAAATCAGAAGCTGAGATTTCATCCTTCTATAAACTTTGTCTTTGAAAATCTCAGACATTTAGACCTATGCCCAGTTCCTGTCAATATTGAAGCGATGTATACTTTTGTGCTCATTATCATTGAAAATGCATAATTTAATTTATCTAGCACCGAAATCTGTCGTGAACCTAGATTTTATCTGATAAGTAGAGGAACCTAGTCCTCTTTCGAGACCTGTTCGTTAAAAATGTATTTCATTGTCAATCTTGACCCACAATATACATGTTAAAGAGATACGAAACAGATAAATGGATAAATTTCTACAGAGTACTTATCTGTAGTCTTAACTTTTTATAAATTACCTCCCTTTTAAGCTCTTCATTGTGGAATACACGTTAAGCCTACGTTATAAACAATAATGGCGGACAAAAATGAAACAGAATTATCCAAAGGTATTCATTTAAGAATCATTGCTTTTGAACTCAGTTATTGAAGATACAAACCTTACCGTGGTTATAATAAACAATATCAGATTCCTTTTCATCAATTGTCCTCGTTATTTACCACCCCTACCATGAGAAAATCCGGAGAAATTGCATTTGTTGCTTCGACATCATTCATTCATTGGCATTAAAACACGAGACTAGTGGCATAATTTGTTTGATTCAATGGCCTTGGCATTTATTCATCTTAATCTCATTCATAATTGAAAGCTTCATGATTATAAAACGACAAGATTTCTAAATGAAAATTGTGTTTGATTCATTTCTGACATCTTCTGATCCAGTTCGGCGGTTGAGTAAGTTTACATATTTTATTCTTCACACAGATGGAACACAGAAGAAAGCTCGAACTTTTGATTTCATGGCTATGTTTGAAGAAGCAAGACAAACAGCTATTGGTAGAACCTCTCATAATTTAGGTATGATAATTTAAGCTGTGTTTTATTGTATGGTATTGTAACTGCCACTTTTGATAAGAAACATATCATTAACATTATCACATTATGTATTTTGTATTATATTCGAAAAACAAATTATACGTCATAAGATGGCATGGCATTTTTCATATCATAATAATATTGTCTGTTGTTGAACATTGGATTATAAGTATAATGTCTCTTTCAGAACAAGATGAAGATCCCACTGACAAAAACACAGAAACAAAAAGTAAAAGTCAAAAGAAGGAAAGTAGTGACTCCAGTGAAAGTGACTCTGACAGTAACTCAGAAAGTGACTCATCAGATGTTGAGAAACAAGCTAAGACTAAAGGTGATTCTATTGGACCACCACTTCCTCCTGGGTTTAAATCTGTAGATCTAAAGCCTGTCACTGAACATGGTGATGATGACATGATAGGACCTCCTATACCAACTAAAATGAACACAGATAATGATGATGATGATGATGAAGAAGATGATGATGACACCAAGGATGATGAAGATGTAAGTAGCCTCTGATATTTTTGACAATATTGGTAATAGCAATGTGTGAATCCTCTTCTTAAATGTGTTCCAGTCAAAATGAATGTGGTGGTCATTGAATTTTTTTCTATTTAATTTCTTTGTATTTTCAGAACCTTCTCAATACGATTCCATCGAGTCATGAAATAGTTTTAAATCATGGATCAAAAACAGTGAGTAAATTTTTTCATCATATTGCTCTTTGAGTTTGATCACAATTACTGTGCAAAAATATTCCTTCACAAGGCTAATGGAGATTGAAAATGTCATGCATTTTGCCAAAACAGATGCACCAAGTTGCCCATTATTTTCTAAAGATACTATTTTGACCTATGGTTATGCGAACCTCAGACATTTTGACCTTGAATAACATGCAAGCACCTAACTTATTTCTAAGTTGATAAAAATGATGTAAAAGTTGATGTAAATGATTATTGAAGGTGTCAGCTCTAGCATTAGATCCAGCTGGAGCTAGACTAGTTACTGGTGGCTATGATTATAATGTAAGATTATATGATTTTGCTGGTATGGACTCATCATTTCAAAGTTTTAGATCCTTACAGCCCTGTGAAAGGTGAGTTATTTATATAGATGCTCCATAAACATTTTTGATATGATTTACCTATTAAAGATGAAGTCTTAGAATTATCACAGTCAGACATTTTAGAGCCATATGTCATCATATTTGGTACCAATAATTGTCAAGAACATGATCCTAAACAACCCATTTTGCATGAATATTTTTCTAATGATCAGTACCAGTGCTAAGCATATTTCAGGTCCAGACATACATGACAAAACTGAAAGTCAAAACGTTCTAGCAAACATATTATTGTTCCAAACCAGATTTTGTTTACATAATTAAACTCTGAACAGACATAAACATCTCAGAGTTAATTTGCTAGCTATGGAACATTTTTAGGAATATGTTTGAACTTGCTGCTATAACCTATTGATATGAAAAGAATCGTTGAATAAAAAACAGCAAAACATTTGACTTAATTTTTATGAGTTCATATCTAACTCCTTCCAAAATAATATAAAACATCTGAATTTCAGTCATCAGATTAAAAGTTTACAATACAGTACAACTGGTGATACTATATTAGTTATTGCTGGTAATTCACAAGCTAAGGTATTAGATCGAGATGGTTTTACTGTGTTAGAATGTGTGAAAGGAGATCAGTATATAGTAGATATGGCTAGTACACTTGTAAGTATACAGAGCATTTCTTACAGACTATTTATTGCAGACTTTTAAGGATTTGTAAAATGTTTTGTTTGTTTAAAAGACAATCTTATATAATACTTTTAAAGCCAAACTAAGTCTATTACTATGGTTTCTACATTGATCTGGATGAGCAGAAATATATTTGTTCGACTTTGCAAACTTCTTTAAGGTTGTATCAAAAAGGTGTTTAATAATTTCAGGGACATTGTGCAATGTTAAATAGTGGATGTTGGAATCCTAAAATACGAACAGAATTTATAACATGTTCAAATGATTGGTGAGTTCAAAGGTCAATCTGACTTGAAAATTTTATGAACCAACAACTTTGATCATGGACCAAAGAAGAAAAGTGGACATCTATGTTGAGATTTCGTCCTCATGGAAGATCTTAAAGGTGGACTCCTATGTGTAAAACACAGCAAAATATCAGTGCTATTTTTGACATGACCAGTCAACATAAATCATATGCCCTTGATATGAAAAGTTAAATCTAAATTGTGTTACCTTGGCCAGTGTATTTATGATCATTTTTGTTTCAATTTGATCATAGACCTTTTTTTTTTCCAGTACCATGAGACTATGGGATATTAATATTAAACATAAACATAAAAGTATAATGAAACCAAAAAATAAACAAGGTAGAAAGACTATACCTACAGCTTGTGTATTTAGTAATGATGGTAGATATATGGCTTGTGCTTGTGATGATGGCTCTATACAAATGTGGGATCATAATAAGCCATTTTTAGTAAGTAATATTAGGAATTTTTCAGTTTTAAAGCTATCCACCTCTAGTTGGCAAGATTCAGTTACTGTTTATTCTACCAGTAGATAGCTCTAGTTCATGTTTTGAGATGTCTATCAATTACAGTGATACTAAGAACAATTTCATCACATCATAAAACTATATTATTTGTAAGTCTTCAGATGGTCAAGCTGAAATTTTTTGTTAGTATTCATATCTTTTTTTCAATGGTAATTGTAAACTGCATTGATTGTTTATGTTATATATACATGTACATGTAGTTGAATGTTTTTTAGGTAAATGTAGCTATGGTTAACAGAGAAGCTCATACATTAGGTTCAGAAACCAGCAGTTTAACCTTTTCATATGATGGTAATATATTAGCTTCAAGAGGAGGTAGGTTGTCTTGTTATTTGTTAATTTTTGTGATATTTTGTTTCACTTGCTTTTTGAGAATTTTGTTCACCATTCAAATTTCCTGTCAGAGGTCAGAGAGTCTTGCAGTTCAACTTAAAGTAAACTTTTTATGACACAGCTATTGCAATGACCCTTAAATACATTATTAGTAGCTTTTGAGATAGTGATGATATATACATGAAGCAATTTTATAATAACAGGAGCCTCAGACATCCGACAGAAAATTGAGATTGTGCAAAAAGAGGCCCTAAAACACATGAAAAAGCTTTCAAACCTTTGTCCAAAACTCATTCATGCTGTTTTTTTACTGTTATAGGTGATGATACCTTAAAATTATGGGATATTAGAAAATTTAAAAAACCTTTAAATGTTGTCAATGGCTTAACCAATTTCTTCCCAATGTAAGTTACATCTGTTACAAGCTTCAAACTGAATCATTTCGTAGTTTTGAGGGACATTTTTGTGATGTCATTTAACCTGTAATATCCATTATCAATTGCTATTTTTGGAAGTGGAGAATTTTTAAGAACTCAACTGATGCTTTGCAAAGATTAAGCTTTTTCTATAACACTGATGTACCTTAAGGATAGACATAGTTTGTCCTTATCCTACAAAAATTGTCTTCACATTTTGTCTGTATTTTACAGGACAGATTGTGTGTTTAGTCCAGACAACAGATTAATAGTTACTGGTACTTCTGTTAAAAAAAATCAAGGCTCAGGCAAACTGTTATTTTTTGAAAAAGAAACACTGAATTTAGTCACAGAAATGGAAATCTCAGATTCTGTAAGTATTCTTTTTAAGGCATGTACAGTGTGCTCAGAGTTTGTCGTCTGCTTGGCAGTTTGGTGGTAGGATATCTCTCTCTTGTGGCAAGGAGTGCTTGCTTAGATATTGCTCATGATGCAATTCTTTGGGCTGAGTACTGTCTGCAAGTGAGAATGTTGATGATGTTTGGACATCAAAGCGAGACTAAACTTAAATCGTACATTTTGGCGGAACCTTAAGTTGGATTTTAGTTCTGAAAAGTGATACAGATAGCTAAAATAATAACAAGTACTTGTTATATTATAGAGTGTGGTAAGATGTTTATGGCATCCTAAATTAAATCAGATGGTAGTTGGTAGTGGAGATGGTATTGTTAAAATATATTATGATCCAGCCAAATCTCATAGGTATATAATATATATCATTGTTAACTTATTTCAAAACTTAATCAATATCATCTCAAATCAGTTTACATATAACAGCTTTGTTTATTGATATTAAACCTATCCAATCAATTTAAAATGGGAATTTTAATACGTGGATATAAATTTAATAAGTTTGACATCAGATCCAAGCAAATTAAGTCACCTACAGCAAAAAGTGAATCAAAATATACATGTTTTTGTGCTGTAAATAAATCCTTTAAGTTCTATCCTAACTGTATATAAATCTTTTGTTTTAGGGGTGCTATGTTATGTACAGTTAAAAAGAAGAAAAAACAGAAAGAATTACAAGGAATGACATCAAAACAAATCATCACACGTAAGTATTAGTTTAAATTTGGTTTATAAGAGCCATCCCAATTTTTTATCTTAATTTAATAATTTGAAGTGAATTTGAATATGTCTTGTGACAAGTTTTGCAAAGAAAGTTTGATTATAGTATGTAATTTGTAAAATAATCAGCATTACAATCTCATTGTTTTTAGCCTATGCATTGCCAATGTTTCGAGAAGGACGACCTACTACAAGTAGAAAGGTTGAAGAAAGATTACGTAAAGATCCAGCTAAGAGTAAACGACCAGATCTACCAGTAAGTGGTCCAGGTACTGGTGGAAGAGTTAGAGAAAGGGGAGCAACTCTCTCACAATATGTCGTACAGTCTATAGTGTTACGGAAACCTGATCCACATGAAAATGATCCTAGAGGTGCTATATTACGTCATGCTGAAGAGGCAGAAACAAATCCTTACTGGATTACACCGGCTTATAAAAGGTTACTAACTCTTATTTCATTTTTCTGACTTTGTTCCATTTAGTAGTGTTGACATGGAAAAAGCATCTAGTCTTTCGGATGGGACAATAAACTGAGGCCCTGTATGCTACAGGCTGTGCACGTAAAAGATCCCTGGACAGTTGGAAATTGCACTTCCATGGCATTTCATGGGCCAGAAAAGTAAGACATTAAACTCCATTAAGTAGCAATGTTTCAAGCTAAACTCAATATTTTGGCATTCAAATTATTCTGCAGACTTCATGCATGGTATAAATGGAGAGTTAAAACTTTGATTTAACGAAATACACAAGATATGATAATCATTCAAAACTCCACGGTTCTTACTTGTATTTGATTTTTATTATTGTAAATTTATTTCAGGAATCAACCACATCCAGTTTTTCAAGAACCAGATGAAGAAAAGAAAGAAGATGATTCAGGACCATTGTGGAAGAAAACTAAAATAGGATGAAATATATGTTACAATCCTCTAAAGGAAAAGATTTCTGTAAGAATTGGTGCTAATAAAATACTAGTTCTGAATAATTGGATTATATGAGTGTTATTTTCGAGGAAATTTGTCATGGCATTAGGTGAAAATGTTTTTGAATATGAGATAACTTTGTAAGATCTGATATAAGTGGAATAACCTGCTATAAATAAGGACTGTTCAAGAAATTTTATATTTTTTGAACTTTAATGAAATGGATCATTCAGTTTTTAAATGAATGATATTTTATAGATATTTGTTATAGTTTCTATATACCGGTATATGAAGAACGAGTCAAAAATGAAATGAATTTTATAGTGTTAATGATATACTGTAGTGACTGTTGAGATAGAGTAAAGCTTAAAGAATATGACTTGCATATTGAACATCAGGAATCTCATTAGGCACGTGCATGGACATGGATTTTGGAATTGTTTGTTAGGAGCATTACACTGTGATTCATTATGAAGTTTTTGTATACAAACTACATCTTTTCAAGACCTTTTTGACTCCCATATTATGTACTTAGCAATTCACTTTGTTCCACAATAAGAGAAAGTAAAAACTGAAACTATCAATGAAAATTATTTATTATTTCCCAAAAAAAATCTTGACCAATGATGCTTACACAATGAATTAATATCTGCAACTGAAATTAATGAATAATATTTGAAACTATTCCATTCAGAGTTCCTGAAAATTGGTTGAAAGAAAATTTGGATAAAACTCTTTCCTTTCCAGACTTTCCAAATATCTGTGATTTTTCTGGATTATTAACAAAAAATTCCATAGCTTTGGCAAATTTCTCAGGAATGGGTTCACATAAAAATCCTGTTTTTCCATCTTCAATGGTTTCCAATGGACCACCACTATTGACAGCTATTACTGGACATTGCATACCCATAGCTTCTATGGGAACGATTCCAAAATGTTCTTTATCAGGTGTATAAAGAAGACAAGTACTGTATTTGAGTAAAGTTTGTTTTTTGGCATCACTTAATGAACGATGAAAAGATACATCATTATCAAGATGATAATCTTTGACTAATTGTTTTAATTCTTGATAATGTTCTACATTTTCTGTCACTCTTTCATCATATCCACCAGCCATGATTAAATGGATATCTTTATTATCAGCATGATTTTCTCTTACTTTAGCTAAAAAGAAAAAGAAAATTTCTATTTAGCCTAGCTTGTAAAAATCAGGGAAATGGTAAAGATGAAGAAAAGATAAAGGTGAAGGGACAACAGGCTCCCATGTAGAGGTAAAAGGAGAGAATCTACCATTTAATTATGTTTTTGAAGTCATTTCCTAGGCTAATATTGCGAAATGTGTCAGACCAGGTGAATTATCGAAAGGAAATTCTATGGAGATCTTAAGAACACTCTAGTTTTCCACATCTTCTTCATCATGGTTTGCTTACTATTATTGATATAAGGGGAAAAGGGTTAAGAGATACCCTTCAAAATCCTAGTATACAATCTAGAATGCTGTTGCTCATAAGAAGGCACCTACGAAACCTCATTTCCTGACAGATGATAATCTTCACTCACAACTGACTAAGTAATAGATTAGTCATATGATTTATAATATTAAATAGTAAGGGTTATATAAAACCCTGATTTGAGAAGGCAGGACTAAGACTAACCCAAGTGTATATCCTTCTGACTTGTGATGTTGATAAATAATGATGAAAACCAACTATAAAACTTAATATATTTCCAATCTTTTTGACACAATGATTGAATGACTTTTACATTACACACAAGATCAATGAAAAAAATTCATCCAACACACAAGGGATTTATATGTTATATCGGCTTTCAGCAAATAAAAACCATAAGCTTATGGGAGACAAAAATAACTAGCAACTGTCAATCAATTCCAAGAAAGAAAACAAGGGATGAGCCAGCACAAATACTGCAATCCATAACATCTAAATATTCTAGTCATCAACCATAAGACAACTATAATTTACATACATAGGCTCACATATACATGTAGTGCTTCATGTTGAAACTTAACTGAACATCAACTTATCAAACGAGCACACAAAAGCAAGGTTAAGAATATCTTTAATTTTGAATTAAGCATGAATTCAATGACCTGCTATATTTCCTGTTTATCTGCTCAATGTACAGTACTTATCGGCAATTTTGTATGATATAGTCTGTATTTTAATGTTTAAATGTAGTTTCCTAATTATTTAACTGGTAGATTAGGTAGATCAGTGGATTTCAAGGCCATTTAGATTTTCATGTTCATGATCAGAGATGAGTGTTAGATCCAAATTTTCATACAGTCAAGGAGAAAAATTTAAAACACTAACTTACCAAATGCTTTAATAGCTAAGGGTAGATTTTTCTTGCGTTCATATCTATTGATGGAAGTAAATATTAGAGATTTATTAGAAGGGATCAGATCATCAGTTGGTTGGTCCACTGGTTTATCAAATATTTCACAATCTGGTACTGGATATAGAACTTGTGGTGTTATATTTGATAGTGACTTGAATGTTTCATGGAATATACCAGCTGGAAAAGAAAACATGAAATATATAAGATGTGTTTTGTCAATAAATATAAATCAAAAGTAGTGTGGTATAATAAAACAATCAAGATATTGGGTATCAACATGGATTGATGAAATTGGAAATCCTGCAAATGGTGGTCCAATACATATTGGTTCAGTGTGAATACTTTAGAAATTCACCCAGAATTTACCTGTAAAATTACTGTTGACTAGTATAGTATCAGCCATTCCAGTGGTTATTTCTTCAAACCAGTCAATAGGACCTCGATATAATTTCTTCATGAAACTTTTCCTTTGTGTCAACAGCATGTCAGGGAAATGGCAATAAAATAAAATCTTTGCCTTAGAATGCAACTTGAGAAATGGAATACAGGCTGATATTTGATCACAGAAAAACAAGTCCACATCTTTAGAAATGTCACTAAATAAAACAAGGTAAATGGCAGCATAAATCATACGAATGTAAGCACATAGGGCAGCAAATTTTCCAAAGATACTTCGAGGAAGCCAGTCACCAACAGAAGTCACTTTGAAAGACCCATCAGTTGTTTCAGGAAAGCAGTGATTGGGATCATGATGAGAAGTGACAAATTCTACTGAGTGTCCTTTTCCTTTCAAAGCCAATGCAGCATCAATGACAGCCCTTTCTGCTCCTCCGATGCCTAGATCGGGATGCAAAAATACAATTTTAGTCATTCTAGGTATATTCTACACTTATTCAAAACCGCAATTCATAGAAATAAGAAATATGATGAAAGCTGTGTGTTTATTTTTGACGTGTCGGAAGTGGGTCTTTTTCTACCTTCAGCCACAAAAGAGTGCGTTAAAGGGGGGTAATTAAATCAAAATCAACATTGCCTTCAAACTGCAATTAATTCTTAAAACCTGTTTTTATCTCTTTCTGCCTTTAAAAAAATTGTCATTTTGCCAAGCAGTGACTCATGTAATCCCGATTCATTATCATTTCACAAATGTAGGCATATGTATGTCTGGTATGGTACTATTTATTCTTGAAATTTGTTAGTTGGACAGTCAGTTAACTAAGATGTAACAATCAAATCAAACCAAATAATATTTAAAGGATCTGATAATGCAAAGCCTACTGCACTTTGCCTTAAAAAACAAGAAGACCGAGTCTAAGCAAATAAAAGTTTGTAGATTGTAAGTTTGCTGAAGCTATAAGACAGGCACGATCAGGAATCCAACTGCAGAGAGTTCACATATTTTAGAAAGCAACATTTGAAATAACAAACAAATTTTTTAAAGTAAGTTTAATTGAAATGTTTTTCGGGACATTGACATCACATTTAATATTATAATATTAATAATAGCATACAACTTTCATGGAACACAATCACCCATATATCACACACTAATAATCAAAAAACAAAACAAACATAATCAACATAGTCTAATACAGGTTAGGCAGTCCACAATATTTATGCAAATAAAGGCATCAAAAACCAAAGCCTGAAAAGTGGCAATAATGTACTATTTTCTCAATCCAATCAACATAAACTATTTATGTTTTGAATGTCACAAATAGCTAATAAATTTTTTGATAAATTAAAGCTGTGAATTTTCTTAGTTTTATACCCTGTTCATATGTTTTGGGTTTTTTTTTTTTTTTCATTTTATTCCAATAATACACTGTCAGACAAAAATTGACAAAAAATTATACCTTTCACACAGAACGCTTTACTTGCTTCACAAGCTGATTGAGCTTAAATTCAGCACTATTCAGAATTATAATCTGACACCTGGTTAAGGAACAAATCAATTGTAACTGTGGCGGATTAAACTTGTCCCTTCTAGCTTTATTAATGATCACGGATATTACTGAAGTTAGGTCAACAACACCTTCAAAGTTTCCAAAGATTGATTTTGTTTAATTGTAGTGTAACTTGATGTCAGATTTAATTCTGAAAAGAATTCTGAATGGCTGAAATGACCATTTTTAGCTTAGATATATTAGATCTGATGAAGAAGATCATCTTCAACTAGGTAGATATCACTAGAAATATACAATGTTAGTAATGGTATAGAATCAACAGTTACTATTATGAGTATATTTCATTCATTATTTCATACTGATTCAATATTGCACATATAAGAATATTAAACATGATATAATATTGAACATGATATAATATTGAACATGATCTAATATTAAACATGATATAATAATAACCATGCTATATAATATTAAACATGATATAATATTAAACATGATATAATATTAAACATGATATAATATTGAACATGATCTAATATTAAACATGATATAATAATAACCATGCTATATAATATTAAACATGATATAATATTAACCATGCTATATAATATTAAACATGATATAATATTAACCATGCTATATAATATTAAACATGATATAATATTAACCATGCTATATAATATTAAACATGATATAATATTAACCATGCTATGTAATATTAAACATGATATAATATTAACCATGATATAATATTAACCATGATATAATATTAAACATGATATAATATTAACCATGCTATATAATATTAAACATGATATAATATTAACCATGTTATGTAATATTAAACATGATATAATATTAACCATGCTATATAATATTAAACATGATATAATATTAAACATGATATAATATTAAACATGATTAGTTCATACAAAAATTTATGCATAAAATTTCATCTTTCATGTAGATTGTTCAAGGAAATGCCATGATTAAATAAGAGAATATAATTATTATAATTATATAGCTCAATTATCATTCAAATAAGAGTTATTGGAGTCTTGAATTTCTCTGCATAATTTTGTAATTGTAAAATTGCACCCCTTAACCAAATTTGAATCTTTAATCAAGTGATGAGCATCAAACTTTCAGTAAGGTTTGGCATTTCCTCATGTAGTTAAACCTTAACTATATATCTGAAACTATTTTCTACTACACAGATTATGCCATTTCATAAACATGGAATTCAAAATAATATCAGTCACCATCGATTGTAAGTTAGTTTCTTATTCACACATTTTAACCCATAACATAAGAAAATAACAAAAGCATAAAAGGAAAAACAAGGACATAAAAACCAATAAAATGCAGACAAAATATTAAAGCACTATATTATGACTTAAACAACATTGAAACAAATATTTAAATAATGGGAGTGATTTACATAATATACATTCAATATGTACATAAATTTACATATCATTTATATAATACAAAATATTTTACAAATTTGACATTTTTTTTTAGTCAAAACCAAATCAAAGCTTCAACTTATAAAGAAATACTTATAATATTTGACAAGATTTGGATAAATACAAATTTGGAAGTACAATTTTCACATGAAGAAACATGAATTGACAGTATGTTGTCAAACAAAGAAAAAAAGGAACATGCATGTTTGACAAGAATAAATTCTTTCATTTGCAAGTCAGTTCTTTTTCAAACTCAAAACTTATTTTCAAGTGTTATTGATCATGTTATAACAACATTTTTCATAACATTTGAACTCTGATAAGCATTCAATTTTCTTAAATTTATCAGCTTAAAACAAACAGGTTCTGACACTCATTGATATACAGTAATAGTGTTCATCACATCAGTTTATCTCACTTAAATACTCAGCAAATAACATTCTTCAACTTCTTTGATGAATACTATTACAGGTTAACAATTTGTGTCTCAATTCTTAATATATCACAAACAAAAGATATATAATATTATGCCAGACAAGTATATATGCCCATTAAGAGAAGATTGAAAATAAATTAAATTAAATACATTATTAGAATGGCCATAGGTGAAAAGAAGTATCTTACATATTCATCATTATACAATGATCCAAAACTAATTTCAAGCTTCCAAAAACAGATCTAAAAGTCTGACAATAATTGTCCAGCTTAAAGGGATTGTTAAGAGGTTTTCTAAACTTTTTATGTGTTTCAGGCTATTTATCTTTTATTAAGATCATTCCAATTTTCAGGCAGATGTCTTTGGTTCCTGTAATTATACAAATGCTGAACAGTGCAAGACATCATAAATAGTTTAGTTTTAGTGGAATTGCAAGACCTAAAGACGTCTGACTGAAAATTGGAACTATCAAAATTGATACTATCAGTGTCCCTGATACACCCGACAAAAATCACAAAACCTCTTCACAATCCCTTAAAGAATATAGCAAATGTTAAATAGATAACAAGAATTCATGCATCATTCATGGATATATGAACACACAAAATATCAGCAAATATATAAAAATTGTATCACATTTGTTTCATTAGGAAAGGTACACAAAATATGATAAAAATAATTATGTAATTATAAGGGTAAGTGAAAGGAATTCGGGGTTATTTACACATGTACAGCCATTTTATAAATTCATAGATAGGCGCCTAAAGTCAAATTCTGTTTTTATTTCAATAAAGTATTAAAAACTTTCTCTAAATAGAAGTATTGCTTCTATTACTTATGTTATTTCAGCAAATTGTATTTGTAATTGAGTTTATACACTGGGAAAATGGAATCAAGTATATCTTAAGCTCTATAGGATACAGTATTCAACACATTGGATAGAGCAGAAATTCAGCTATATGTGTCACTTTTGAAAATTGAGATATGACCTCCAGTTCTCTTACAATTCAATAGAAACATGTCATTTGTTATTACTACTTTTATAACATCATCAGTAATAAATGCATGCAAGATCAAAAACTTAAAAACAATAATGGTTCAAGCCTGAAAATTCATCTCTTTTGAATTGTAGAAAAACATGACAATGGATCTTAATTCTTCATAGTGTTAAGGGTAGCTACATTTGAACTTTTCAAACTAGGAAAGCAAATACAAGACAACTGTACTTCTTCTAGCAGTGGTGTTTTTGTTTTTGATCACTTTAAATTATTAGAAAAACTAGATTTAACTAAAGGCACCTATGAGAAGATACATTAAGTAACAAAATAATCAAATTATTCCAAATAATACATTGTCATGGATAAAAGTATTTGATTTACAGAAATACAAAACTGTACTTTTATTGTACACAATGAACAGTAGCTGTAATCAAATTTAATAAAAAACTTAATTTCCTTTCAGAATTAGCTACTACATTAGAATGTTGACATTTTCAGTACAGGTACATTTTTTGCAAATTCTGAAACAGTTTAAAGTATACATTTACTATATATAAAACCTTTAATAAGAGTTTTTAACTTTAATGCAAGAAAACTTGACTTGCACTATTACCATTTATATCCTGATATTATACCCTGAATACCTAAATAAATGCAACAATTTGTGACCTAGTTTGATGCTTTACTACAATTCAATGCAATTTTATAAATTGAACTTTGATTTTTGTGTTTTTCTCTAAACATAAATTACTGAAAAGACAGTATATTTTTGTTTAATTGCATAAGAATAAGATGTACATTTTGAAAAATTTGAAAAGATCTATGTATGTGCCAATACGTGTATTATAAGAGTGTTTTTTGTCTAAATTGTTTGAAATCATTTTACGTGTTACAATATTGATGTTATCTTTCAACTGTTTTAATCATCTTAAAGTACACAGTAAGTAATTTATATTCTATTTATCCTTTGAAAAGCTGTCTTGATTTTGTGAAGATAATTGTTTTTATCTAAAGCCAAAAAAATCTAATTTTCTTGAATCTGAAAATAGATTATGAATAGGTAAAAATTCATTGTTTTTTTTCACTTCATTTACATCAATTTCTGTCCTTACTCCAACAATGGCAGTATTTTTAGCTATCTGAGAGTCACTTAACTCAAAAAATATTTTTCAGTCTTGAGTTATAATAATAATAATCAATTTGTCCATAACTAAGATAATTAACCAAATTATCATATTCATACCATCAAAATTATCATCATTAGCCATTATTTTGTATCATCAAAATTAATAACTTAACTCCTCTAATAAATTACCAGCTTGTGAAATATATCCAATATTCATATCATCAAAATCATTAACATTATTCAGTTTTTATTGACAAAATTATCCTATATTCATATCAACAAAATGATCAACTTTGCTTTTGAAAATTATCCTATATTCATATCAACAAAATCATTATCATTATTCAGTTTTATTGACCAAATTATTGATTTGAAAATGAACACTTTTCTCTGAACAAATATTGAAGTAGACAGAAGTAAACATTTCATTCTTTTAATCTTCTAACACTTCTATTCAAAATGACATGTTTTTCTTACTGGAGAAGTTTGTCCTTTTTACCATTGTTTAAAAAAAAAGGTCAAATGGATGTCTACTAGGCACAGAGACTAGAGTATTCATTATCATTAATTTATGCTTTCTGTACTTGCTGGTAATATTACAATATACATGTAACAAGGCTTTTTAACTCTAATTTTGTCAGTTGAGTTCAATATCCGGAGTCATTATTTTGAGTTTTGTATTAAGATAATTTGCAAAGCTTTTGTTTTATTATTCCGTAATTACAGGCCGTTTAAATTTTATCATTTTGTTTCATATTTTACAGCATTTCAATGCTGTAAACCAAAACCTTGGAAACAATGATCCGAGAGGATTGCAAGCGTGGAGCGTGGTGCGCAAGTTCAATAACCATACATAAATTTAAGCCTTTTCATTTGAAGTACACACACTCAATATATGTTCACTATTTCATTTCATTTATCAAATCTAGTATGTATTGGTAATATCAAGTCATTCTGTCATATTTTGCCAAGCAATAATTTATTTGCTTTAAGAAGAAAAAGACTCCCACTGATGTTTGTTTTTCTCTCCAATCCAGCATAATTAATAGATTGAGAACAGAACTAACTTGTGATTATATGTGAAATCTGTCAACAAATTATTATGAACAATATAACATGAAAGTCTCATTTAGTTATAATATAAAAATAATGTGATTAGTTGAAGATAATTATAACTAATAGGCTCAATTATAACCTTATAGCCATAATAATTCAACTATTATTTCTAGATTTGTGTAATATTCCATGGATTTCGCAAGTTCACAACCAAGCTTATGAAATAAATCTATAAGAGAAAAAATACTCTTCATTATAGAGTTAAATTTATATATTTCAAGTTGTTTTAAATCAATATTTGTAAACAATTTATTTCCAAAAATCAAAGACCTATTATCATAATTTTGTTTGCAAAAATAGAACTTTGGATTTGTTTAATGGATTCTACTTCATCAATTGTACCATCTTCACTACCACAAACTCTGTCTTAAACCTTGTCTCCAGTAGCCACCTTTCTTTTATCACGGAATGCAGCAGGTTTTATACCAGCTAATACAGTCAATCATAGCCCTCGACAGACCATTATGGCTTATTATTTACAAACTTTCTGTTTATGACTCTATAGGCTGTATTCGCTAAAGTACAATCAAATCACTGCATTTACAAACTTCCATGATACAAGAAATATGACTATTGCAGTCAAGGTATTAGAGGAGTTCTTAATAGCTTGACATAGTGAAGATGTAATTGGACTAACCAATCAGATTTCTAGTAATGATCATTAACCAATAGGAACATTTTGAGATCAAGTTTCTTTAGGAATATCAAGAATATTGAAAGTTGAAATTAATATGAGTATATATTATGACTAGAATAGAGTCAAAGGTTATAAAACCAAATGACAGATATAGGCATAGGATTGTGAATGTTCTTGGGCAGCAGTTGGATAAAATAGCAGTTAAATATCAAATTTCCATAGAGATATTCACTGCCCCCGAATACTTGGAGGACCTACGCCTATGTTAGAGAAAAGTATATACAAAAGTAAAATACTAGAATTGACTATAAATAATGTGGAGTGTCTTGCCCCGTTAATAAACGAAATATAGACGTTGGCATGGTTTTCATATGAATCTGAAATAAAAGTAAAATTAGAGAATGAATTATTGTGAATTTTGTTTAATATAAGAAATATACTGACAGGCAAATGAATCTTCTTTTGAATGCATCATATATATATCAAAATATTTTCAAATACTTATATATATGTAAATAAAAAAACTGGAGAAAGCCATCACAAAGAAATTTGAACCTTCATGTCCACGTGTGTCCAGAATTATCCACGTTAGATGTTAAAAAGACGATTCATCTTTACTTGAAACCCCGCCATATAGAAAGTGATATTTCTAGTTTGAATTATATTTGAAGATATCATGCAAATTTTGTGTAGTTCTTGTTGTTCTGAAGACTATTTATATATTCAAGAACAAAATAAACCCTCAAATATGTCAAACCATGGTCTTTTAATCATTAAATGTTGGAAGTAACAAAGGTTTGAAATTTTATAGTACCTTTTTTTTGGACATGGGAGATTTGAAAGGTGAAAGAGATAGCTGATATTGAGCTCTGTCAGTTGATAAAAACAAATATTTAGATGCCATTAAATAACCTTAAAACTTCAGCATTTAAATTGCTTTAAAAACTTACCTCTCCTACAGAATTAGCTAATAATGAGACAATTTTTTCATGTGGTACAGCCACAACACTTTGGTTATTAATTTCTATAATACGATGTCCGACTCGTACACCACCCCGTTCAGCAATACCCCCACGTAATAAACTACATATCTGAAATAAATATACCACTTAAATTACAATAGCGAAATAGAATACTGTATGTAAGATATATATTACCAAGTACATTATCAATGACAGTGTTGGGTATAGAATAATACTCTCCTATAGAAGCACTGGCCAAGATCAGATTAACAGAACATACCTCTATTTCATCAACTTGAAAGTGTAATTAAATGTACTTCATAATTTGTAACAGTAAAAAATTTTGAAAAAGCTGAAATTATGGTATAATTCGCAAATTATGAAAGGGGAGAAACCTATCAATGTGAAAAGTTTAGCATTCAAAATGGTTAATTGCATCATGTTCCTTTAGCAATGGTTTTTAACTTTTATCACATCTAACCATTGCTTTCACAATACGGTATTCTTGTCATCAATTTTGATTGCAAGAGGATTTATTTCTAAACCAATTAGATTCCTTCAAACAAATTATTGTTGGGAAAATGTTTGAAAAACCTGATACAACATTTCCAGCTGTTATAGTGCTTTGAAATATTGACAGCTGGTTGAAATAATGGTATTATTGTTAGTGATGTCATTAAAAGCTTTAAGTGGCATTGCCAGAATTACAGGCGTTTGAATGAAAATTGGTGCATGTCAGTGGCCTTAAACACATAAACAGTTATAAAAATCTCTCTAAAATCACTCTAATACTATTCCTACTTCTAATTCTCCCAACTTCATAGGATCTTGGCTCTGCCAACTGAAAGAGATGTTTATTCATTCACATTGTCAATTAAATTTACTACCAAGTTTGTAGCCCCGCCCCACTGTTTTATAGATTGATAAAATTGTCAATAGTTGATTATCAAAAATTAATAAAATTCTTTATGCTTTCTATTAAAAATATTGATTGAAATATCAATGTAATGAATAATTCTAACAATATGTACTGTTTTAAAGGGACCAATCATACGTTAGTCTCAGAAACAGGAATTTTTTTTAACCTAAGCCAATAAATAATAGTGTTCACAGCTCACTGTCCAAATTTAGAGCCTTCAAATCCATATATGTCCAGAATTATCTTTATTGAAAGTTAAAAAGATGAGTCATCTTTTCTTGAGACACTGCCATATATAGAAAAGATATATATAGAAATAGGAAAAGAGATTCGTAGTTTGAGATATTTTTTAAAGAATTATGCGATTGTCGTACATTTCTAGTACTCCTGAAGACTATTTATATATATTCAAGACTCAAATCAACTCCAAAATGGCATGTGTCACTTTAAGTCAAATGCTTTGTTTCAATGATGTAATTGGAGAAAAAAACTATTACCAAGTACAGAGATCGAGTCAGAGATATTTCTGCTAAAGCAGTCTACTTTAATTCTAGAGGAAAAATAAATAGTATAAATAGAAACTATATCAAAATATTTTTACTGTTAAAATAGTGTTCAATACATCAATTGTAGAGTGATATAGAAATACCACTGTTAAAATAATGTTCAATACATCAATTGTAGAGTGATACAGAAATACCACTGTTAAAATAGTGATCAATACATCAATTGTAGAGTGATATAGGAATACCACTGTTAAAATAATGTTCAATACATCAATTGTAGAGTGATACAGAAATACCACTGTTAAAATAGTGATCAATACATCAATTGTAGAGCAATATAGAAATACCACTGTTAAAATAATGTTCAATACATCAATTGTAGAGTGATATAGAAATACCACTGTTAAAATAATGTTCAATACATCAATTGTAGAGTGATATAGAAATACCACTGTTAAAATAATGTTCAATACATCAATTGTAGAGTCATATAGAAATACCACTGTTAAAATAGTGATCAATACATCAATTGTAGAGTGATATAGAAATACCACTGTTAAAATAGTGATCAATACATCAATTGTAGAGCAATATAGAAATACCACTGTTAAAATAATGATCAATACATTAATTGTAGAGTGATACAGAAATACCACTGTTAAAATAATGTTCAATACATTGTAAAGCCATACAGAAATAGAAATATTCAAACAGAACCGGAACAAACATGTTGTTACTAAGAGTTTCACGCTATGCGATCTTCAGACAAATGACCTATTTTCAGCCTGTGTCCCTACTGAAGTCGGACAAGTAAACCTTATTCTCATGTCTACATGAAATGAAATGAATGGATTTTTACGTCCTACTTATATCTACTTCAATCAGATGTCTGTGGTTTCTGCAATTCCATAAAAAATAAGTATTTAATGACATCACTAATAGCGAAGGTCTTATGTGATACAAGCTTGTTTTGCGATACACATACATTTTTTTTTTATAGAAAACCTCTCTAATGGTGGAATATGGATCACTAATAGATGAAGATATAAATGCCCTACTTTATAACAAATTAATTTTTGATAACAAATATCACTAGGACATTGAAGTTTAAATATTTGATCTCCAGCTATCAAGTTTAACAAACTGGGAGTGCACCTTTAAATAATCCATAGTTTTGCATTGATTTACAACGTCTTGTCGCTACCCATAGGATTTATGGGATTTCTTTATGATCAATATAGGGGCATTTTTCTAAGACAAAACTAGTCGATAAGTAAATAGACGCTGTGGCAATGTGAAATGCTTGGGAAATCACGAACAAAACAATCTCTGGACTTTGTGTGAACAACAGTTTCTAACATTGAACCTTAATTAGTCTCAAGCTAGAAATAAAGAAGGAACATTGAACAAGTTCTCCTCTAGTCGTTTATTTCTATATTCACTAAGATTGATTGCTTTTCTAAGAAAAGTTGATAAACTGGTTAAAGTCGATAAAGAAATAGAACAAACTTTTCATTAGTCTAGAAAGTTGATCTATAAAGATCTCGCTGCAGTCATTTTAATCACCATCCCGTTTGATAACTAGCCGTTGAATTTAGGGTCAGTTTATGTCATGTCTTGTGGGATTTCATCACATTTTACACTCTAAAGATTGAGACTAGCAATCAAGTTGAAATGAAAAGCAAAGTCTTAAAGTACTTTTTCTAAAATAGATTTGTATGAAATCAATCCATGTTTGCACAAGATACTGTTCAAGAATCCTTACAAACTGTATCAATATTGGGGAAACATTATCTTCTTTGCCTAAAATGTTTCATGTACAGTCTGAGATGACATTTATCAGACAACAGTACTGTTTCCAGGTTCATAACACAAGTTCACAAAATAAATATAATGACCTCTTAGCACAAGTTAATAACAATGCAAATGATGTAGGTCTAATAACATATACACAGCAGATATTGGATCTTAAACGAGTGCTTATGTTATTTTGAAATTTATGAAATGATTTGCCAGATTTATATTTCCCAAACCTTGGCAATTCTAGATTCTAGATTCATTCCAGATCTTGAGAAATTCTACAAATCTAAAGGATGAGAAAAAAAGTTGCATTTTCTAAAATGGTCCAGCATGTCAATCCTTGATCAACCAACTATACGCTTGACTTAATATTGACAATCACAATTATTTTGTCAAGTTCTTGTTACAATATCTCAGTGTTTGACAGTAGTTCCACCGTTTAAATTCTTATCTCCAGTTTGTCAGTGTTTGACTCCCGAGTAGTACCAGCCACTATCTCATCAAGATATATATTATTGTTGTCTATAAATTCATTGAAGTAGCATCCTTCCAGAAAGACATTAATAGGTCAGTAACTTATATAATTCTATCAAAGACTATAGAGATCTGGACTACCTCATTAAGACTGTAAAGATCTGGACTACCTCACACTATTAGTCGTCGACGTAAACAAGCCTTTAATTACATTAAATGATGGATAAATTCAGACGAAATCACTAACAACGTAACATAGTATTACATTACTGTTACAGAAAAATAGTATTTCTAATCAAATTTCATATTCTTTCTAGTCCTTTTCTTCCAGTCAAGATTGAAGTTAACAGTAATGAAGTTATTAAATGATTGAGTTACTAGGATTTTATAAATAATAACTATTAGGCTGTCTGTACCAACTCAGTTATTATCAACCATAAATATGGTTGAGGGTCACTTTAAAGGGATGTAGTTGAAATATTTGCTTTCCAGACTGATAAAGCTGGTGGATTAGATTATGATTTGTATGTGAACACAAATGAATAACAATATAACTATGGTTACCAAAAACTAAGATTATCAATGTGAACAAACCTAAGGTTACAAAAGTTACTAATATGAACTCAGCCAAAATTCAACAATGAAAACAGAGCATGAAGGTACCAACACAACGTTCAGTTAACAATTTGAACACCATTTACAGCTACCAATGAAAACAGGACATACAGTTTACCAATGAAAACAGGATATACAGTTATCATTGAAAAAAGGATATATAGTTACCAATGAAAACAGGATATATAGTTAACATTGAAAACAGGATATACAGTTATCATTGAAAACAGGATATACAGTTAACATAGAAAACAGGATATACAGTTATCATTGAAAACAGGATACACAGTTATCATTGAAAACAGGATATACAGTTTACCAATGAAAACAGGGTATACAGTTAACATTGAAAACAGGATATCCTGTTTTCATTGAAAACAGGACATACAGTTAACATTGAAAACAGGATATACAGTTATCATTGAAAACAGGATACACAGTTATCATTGAAAACAGGACATACAATTACCAATGTGAAAACAAAATAAACAGTTACCAATGTGAAAACATGATAAACAGTTACGAATGTGAAAACCTGATAAAACAGTTACCAATGAAAACAGGATAAACAGTTACCAATATGAAAACAGGAAAAACAGCTACCAATGAAAACCAGATTGACAACAGATATATGCAGTTATGAATGAAAACATGATATATGTGCACAGTTACCAATATGAAAATAAAATAATGTGAATGCAACCTAAAGTTACCTTGTGAACAATGAACATAGCTGGTTAAGACGTGAACACAAACAAAGGTTACCAGTATGAACACTATATATAATTTGTATGAGAACACAGCTTAAGATTAGAAGATTATGGATACAAAATTTGATTACATAATCAACATTTAGGTAGAAGATACTATATCTAGATCAGCTATAGCATTTTAATTCTAAAACAAGACAAGATCCAGACCTAATGTACTTGTCAACAATGTCGTCTACTAATACAATGACTACCATTCTATTAGTCTTAGTCTAGCAACTCAAGACTATTAGCACACATTTCAAAACCATGTTTCACTCTTCAAGTTCTGATATCTGGTTTAAGTTATATCTCCCATCTAATTGAAATATTGATTCAAAACTTTGTTGCTTAATTCTTTTAGATTCATATTTCCTAACGTTAGGTTTTATACCATTGAGTAAGGCCATTGCAGAGTCAAAGTTAAAAATGAGGCAAAGGGGAGTCTGGGTGAATTTATAATTCAAAATTTAAAGGCACTTTTCAAGTTTGGTTGCAATTTCAAAATGTAGACATTTGCCTCCATTATACTACTGACTTGTTGTACCTCAATTCCATTTGAATTTAATGACATCATATAGACAAATGAGTTCTAGGGAAAAAAAGCATATTCAGTCTATCAAATACATTGTTCAAATCAAGAAAAAGAGCATTGCTCAAATCAGGAAAAGAAGCATTGTTCAATGTGTTCAAGAAAAAAGCATTGTCTAGTTATGAATTTTAGAAATTCATTTCTGAACATTGACATGTACTCTTATTTGATGGTGGGTTTAAATAAACATAAGTTCAGTTGAACTTAATCTATAATGAGACCATGTCAGATCAAGAAAAAATATTAAAAAAACACCACAAAAAAATAACATAATATATCAATAATTTATTGTTTCAATTGAAAAGACTTCATCCTTAAGCAGGCAATGTTACCTTCAATTATGTTAATTTCATGTCTCATAAGATGAATGTATATTTTAACATAACGAGCATTAAAGACTTATATACTTATTCTTTAAATGATTGATTAATCGCTTTTTATATCGAGCATTTACAATCTATTTTCATCAATCAAAGATAAAAGATTTTCCAGCTCTCTCTCTCATTACCATTAAGAAATCTATTCAAAGTTGGCTGCATTTGCCACAATGTATTTTCCATGATGTATCATAAAAAATATTCTATTTTAAATTTTGAAAATCCTAGTTTTTGGCCATTTTTTACAAATTTTAGAAATGTTTACATTCGTTTTGCAATTTTTACATACATGTCTTTATAAAGAAAATTGGTTGGTATATTTACAGTGGTTACCAATTTTCACATATCTACAATGAATATTGACAAAAAACAAAAAATCACAGTGCTGGCGAGGGCAGAAATTTGATTGGTTAATACAGGGGTCATCAGCTTAGGTCAAAAGGTTATTTTGACATATGTTCATGAGGGCTGTCATTAGACCCTAACAGTGACTATATTAATAAAAAAAAAATGCAAATTAAAAACAAAACGATAGTTTGGTCTCATTCTCATTAGATTGAATATTGGTTACAAAATTTCATATTTCATGAATATTGGCCACATAATATATATATAGTACAATGTCCAAAATCTATCCCTGTACATGACAACACCAACTTTAAGTTAGGCAGTCAAGGACAATATAATGAAGCGATGTCAAGTTGATAGACAACAATACGAATCCATGACCTAGAAATCTGACCAGCTTTTCGAACTAGATTACCACACGCCTAAACACACTCCTAATTTCATTTGATTACAATTAAGAGTTGTGAGAGGAAATTGACATTGGTTTGAGTCTAACGGAAGTGTGGATTGAATGGTAAGAGACAGGAATATTAAAGGACTATAGGTCTGTAAACATCAATTATCTATAGAATGGATTAGCCCATGGAATTTCATCATGATCAGACGATATGACTACTGTCCAATTGTCGGTGAATCCAATGTAAGCTAATTTTCATGTTTACACACGACAAGACAAATACTAGACAATTTCATTTATTTCCGTATTTCAAGAAGACTAAATATCTATACTTCGGAAATGAAAGTCATTTTGATTGCTTTAGCCTGCAGAAATGTATTATTACCATCTCCTAGCCTATCATTTTATATTCAAATTAATATCCCCCTACAGAAATAATAATATACCATATTCAGATTAGCTGATAATCAAATTTCTCTTGATATCAAAATGGTGGAAACAATGTCTGGTGATTTTATTTTGTATGACCAGAGATTTTTTGAAAAGCAAATTTTTTGAAATTTTATGTGATGGACAAAATAAAGCAAAATACAAGCCAAGAATTTAGGGTTAACAAACTATTCTCAAAATAGCGTTAATTTTTTCCAAATCAAAGATGACATTGAAAAGAATTGTTTAACCACTTGTATCTTTTGGAGTTAAAAATCGGTTAATGTAACATTAAGCTATGACTAGTAAAAACTTTCTACAACTTTAAATAATTTGCAGTCAGTAGCTCCATGTAAAAGACTGTAATTTTAACTTTCTACTAATGAATTCTTGGCTAACAGCGACATACTGTTAATGATGTGTCAATTTTGACAACGTTAATTTTTAAATTGAAATAATTTTTATAATATCTTTCATGTTACAGTGGTATTGAAAAAATTTCAGTGATTTTGAAAACCACCATTAAGTGGTTTTAAAAACAATCCTTTAAATTTTCAATGAAAACAATTCAAGTAGTATTAAAAACAATTCTTTAAATTTTCAAAACCTTTCAAGTAGAATTAAAAACAATCCTTTAAATTTTCAAAACAATTCAAGCAGTTTTAAAAACATTCCTTTAAATTTTGAAAACAATTTTAGGCAATTATTTTTTTGAAAACAATCCTTTAGATTAGACAATTCAATGCAGCAGCACTTGGTTTCTAAAATCACTCCTTTAAATTTGAAAACAATTTGGATGGTTTAAGTTTTGAAAACAATTTTAAGAAGCAGTGGTTTATAAATATGTAAATGCTATCCATATAAAATAGATTGTCACAAGCATTTAAAGTAGCTGATGGTGTTGTTGGTGTTAAAAACAATTCTACTTACCACACCATTTTGAACACTGAAACCTAGTTGATATTTGACATCTGGTCTTTTAATTATAACTTCTACTACTGGTGGACATGGTACAACTGTTAATTTCACTACTGTTTGATTCTTGGCAGCCTGAAATATCAAAATTATTTCAAAATTAGTCAAAATCTAAGGATCTTACCATAGGAAGCCTTTTAAACCAATGTAAATGTAAAAACACCATGGACTACATGCATTTTAAAGGATTCAGCAATCTTGCAGAACTCAGTCTGATTTTACAGTTAATATATTACCCTGGGTTACCTCACACATTCATACTTATTTCATGCAAATATTAAAGAAATATAACAAATTTGAATTTATCCTTTTGGGTTATTTTTGGTTTAGAAAATCATCAAGATGCCTAGAAGCATTGAGTTATTCATTATTCAGATTTGAATTATTCATGAGTCTGGATCTTTTAGAATTGTCCCCAGGCAGTGCGTATATATATATATATATACATACTGCCAATATGATATATATAATTATAGGCATTATAATGATTTCAAGATCAGATGGAGATTGCTCACAAACAATACTGTTCAATTAATAAAAAATGAGGCAAGAATTCAGTGACCCCACTACAATGCACAATAGCATATAATACAATTCAAATGCACTATTTCAATTCCAGCTTGTCAGTTGATTGGTTTTTGGCAGTCAACATTAAAATAGTATCACCAACTCAAAAATCAGATTGGGAATATGAAAAGCTCAAAAGTATTACAGATTCACATGAATGTATCTTTACATTCAATTCCCCAATATTCCATAAAATGTTCAAACCACACTTAAGTCTCTGTAGGTTTTCAATATTGCATGAAGGGGCTTGGAGTAGTGATACCATGAGTGTGCATAGCACATAAATGGTATCACTACGCCAAGCCCCAAGTGGATAGATGGATGGATTCAATTATTACATAGGCCTGATATTCTTTGTATCGGTAAAGAACGATTAAACACATAAAATATTGCTATAGTTCAAATAAGTAACTGGATATTCCCATTAAGGTTATAAAGTGTACAGGTATAATCTTCTTTAAGAGTTATATATTTACTTACTATCTTCTTTTCTTTTTAAAATAAAAAATTGCTTTTTGGAACAAAATTTATAGTAGCTGCAGTACTCACTTTCAATATCAATTTTAATATCAAAACAGATTTTTGACTACATATTCTTTTTATATATAAATATTATGAATATATATTGATATAAATCTGATAAAAATTCCCTCATAAATTTTTAACCGAATGTCTGTAAATAGTAGCAGAGGACATCAGCATACCGGTAGTAAGAATTAGTAAAAGTTGGAGAAATAAATATTGCCTCTACCTTATCTCTGAAGAGTAGGCAGCAAGCAGTAATTGTGTGGTTTAATGTTAAACCACCTTGTGACAGGCGCGGGGGGGAATAATGATCTGGTTAACTAACTAGTGACAGGTCAGAGAAACCACAGACATAATAATTCAATTAATCCACCAAAATAGTTTGTCTATTGCCTCCTTCAGTCCTTGCTAACAATTTCATAGAATCATCTTAGACATTGAAATAATTAATGTGAGATGTGAATTCTCTGAGAGAACAAAAACTCCTGTTGTCCTCATGATATATTCATGTGACAATAAAGAATAGACCAGACATATATCATTGTACCATCTTCAGTTGAATACTGTCATAAGTGTAATTTCTATAACACCTGATAATGCCAGAGCTATTGCAACATTGAGTCTATCTGAATTACCACTTTCAAGGTTTCTTCAATTCAGTCCAAAGTCACAGCTTGACCTTTGGGACTTAAACAGACATTACTGGCAGTCAAATCAGTCAGCCAAATCATTTGATGAACAATGTAATAATAATGACACAGTTCTCTTAAAGGGATAGATTTCTTATTTTTTGGGGGTCAATTTGGGTCTTAAATATATGTAAATAATCTTCACATAATTCCTTCAAAAATATCTCAAACTAGGAATTTCACTTTCTTTTTCTATACGTCTTTACTATATGTCTGTCTCAAGAAATGATGAGTTTTCACATTCAAATACCGTTAATTACAGACACACATGAATATGGAGGCAAAGTTAGACCGTGAGCTGTGAACACCATTATTGGGAGCCTAAAATTACGACCATGTGCTGTGAACACCATTATTTGGAGGCCAAAATTTAGACCACGAGCTGTGCACACCATTATTGGGATGCTAAAATTTAGACCATGAGCTGTGAACACCATTATTGGGAGCCTAAAATTTAGACCATGTGCTGTGAACACCATTATTGGGAGCCTAAAATTTAGACCATGAGCTGTGCACACCATTATTGGGAGCCTAAAATTTAGACCATGAGCTGCGAACACCATTATTGGTTAGCTTAGCTAAAAAATTCTCATTTCTGAGACTTAAGTACAATTGGTCAAACGGATGGGAACCAGTCCATTTCAACTTTCCTATGCTACAAATAATTTGAAGGATTTTATCGTAAAGCAAGTCTAAATTTACAACAAGGTCAATGATGAAATCTTTTCTTTGTGAGAATATTAGATCTATAACAATGCTTACATAAGTTGATTAATGTAAACATATGTAGATCAAAATGTTCATGAAAAAAATGTACAGCTCTTTGATGTACGTAAAGAATGGACATTCACTGAAAGTATTTTGATCTATTCATATTGATTTATTGTTCATAAGACTCAGTAATCAACATAAACAAGGCAAAATTTCCTGTAGAATAAAGATTTCATTACTAAATTCTATACAGGTTTTTAGATTAAATAATATCTAATTTCCGAATACACTATTTCTCCATTTTAAATTCAATAAATGTTGTGTTCTTTGAGATCTAATCAACGATATATTGGAAAAACAAAACTCTCTAGAAATGAAGAGTAGAAAAACTACTTTTTATTTGCGGAAAGTTTGTAAAGTTTTGAGCTTTCAAAAGGATTTAAAAGAAGTTTCCTAAACTTCTGTGTGTATCTGAGACAGTCTAACTTTCTATTTGCATTATTCTGACTTCTTATGTCTGTGGTTCCTGTAATTCCAAGCAAAAAAAAGCATAACCATCTCAAAAACAATTTTGATGGAATGGTTTACTGTAACAATAATGTCAAAAGGGAAATAGGAACAGTGCAAAAATAAAACTATATAAATGTTTGTGGTACCATATGGGGTATGGGGACATTGTAGAATATCTGGCAATGTCTTGAGCAGACTGACTAAATAATAGTTCAGCTTTGTATAGATACCAAAATATTTGCAAAATTTGGCTCGTAATATGGTGACAATTCTCAAAACTAATGACCAAAAACTGACCAACTCTCATAAAATGTGACATTTTGTGTCTGGAAACTCAAAAGTGCTGATCTCATCTGTATATCATGACCAATGAACCAGTAAGGCCAGATTCGTCTGGCTACCTAAAATAATAAGGCTTACTATTCCTTTAATGCAAATAAATTCATTCCAAGCACAAACGTAAGAAAAAGGAAAAAAAAGACTGACATTTAAGTCAATTAATGTTTTCTATTTCTACATCCTCTGATCATGTAAGTTAATTAAACATAGAACCTGATGACAAGTGTAAATAGAAAATGTAAATTGACTAGTTTTATCATGAATTTATTAGATTACATGTCCTTTTCTAATCATTTACCAGTTCTATTTGTTACATTCAGTAACACTAAGCCATCCTAGAGGGTCATCCTATCATTCTGGTTTTCATTTGAGCTCATTTGCAATTCAGAAGGAATATTTTAGAAACACCTGGTGTTACTGAAATATACAACTTGGCATTACCAGGATGAATTATTCAACCTTTTACACTTCTTTTGTAGGCCTACTTTTTGGGGCGATACTGAATAATATTAACGAGCTTTGTCAAAATCTGGCAACAATCGAACCTTCAAGAGCTTACAAGCTCAAAATTGAAAGTGTTTTCAATAACTCATATGTTATGATTCTAAATTTTTGATTTTCAAAAGGGTTCAAACATCCATGAGTGATAATAAACAATTTCACCCATTTTCATCAAAATCCTACAAGAATTGTGCCTCTAGAGATTAAACAAGCTAAATATTGAACGCGGATGGACGGAAGTGGGCGTATAATAAAAAAAGACACAACAAAGTTTGATGACAGGCATCTACTGAACAGATCATCAAACATATTTCAGTCCACATCTCACCATCAATTTGCATTTATATTAAAACTAGAACATATCAACCTGCTAGATATTCTCAGAAATATAATATCAAAGCTAGAGAAGGTCATAAATCTGTCTTAGTTTGAAGTTTTCCCAATTTAAACTAGCAAATATTAAATTGAAAATGATAACTAACAAACCATTATTCAAGCCACATTTATCAAAACTAATTCAAATATAGACCTGTGTCTGTTAGTTCTTCATGAAAATCAGTGTTAAATGCTTTTAGGATCCAAAATTCAGAATTCAATCAGAAAGGCTTCTAAATGAAAGCCATGCGCTTGAACACAACTGAGCTGTCTTGAACCTATTCTAGCTCTTCTTGGTATCAACTTGTTAGTAACAAATGTACCATTTCAACATATTCAGCAGTGTGGACTAAAGGTTGTCTTTGTAGATCTTTTTCTTTCAGCTACATCTGATTTAAAATTTTTATTAACAGATAGGATTCATTTATTAGACAGCTGACAGCTGATTGATAAAAAGATAGCTTGCCAGGTAAAGTAACATACGCCAACTGCCATCTGCCAGAAATGATAAAAGTGAATTTTATCATAAATTTTCAAATGATCTTAAAAATCAAGGCAAAACTGCAAAAACAGTTTATCAAATTATCATCAAATTCAAACATGAACAAGGTCTCATTGACATACACCATTCCCTATATAAGTAAATCTGGCAAGAAAAGGAAACTAAACAAGTTGAGTATAACTGGTAAAGGCACATTGTTGGTTAGATTTAATTCAGAAATAATGAAACAGAAATGACATGCAATCTGGTGTTTTGATATCAGGACCATTAATCACTTTGTTCATGATAGGAATAGAAAATTCTTCCAATTAAATTAATTGTTTAACACTCTACAGGGCTAGCTGACCACAGAAACTAGATGAGTTGGATGTTGCTAGCTAAGATGAAGGTCTAGGGTTTAATCAATAAATCAGGATGAACTTATAGATCTTTTAACCCATTTCTAACTGTCAATGTTTATGATCAGAGAGGCTGAGATGGAAAAAACTCTGACAATAAGTGGTCACCCCATGTGCTACAGGCATTTCAAAGATTCCACAGCAGTTTGATCAAAGAAGGCTTATGCCACTGTGCTTCTTCACTAGCTCAATCAAAATTTACAATTTCCTGTGAGCCTGTGTCTAATCTAATATAATTCTGTTTGATGCCTTGACATATTTAATCAAGGATTATGGTACAGCCTTTGTTAATGAAAATGTCTCCTCAATTCAAACAATGGATCTGCTTATGGCATGTTCAAGTTAGATATTGATAAATTTGCTTGATGGGGTTGTATTATATGATTATGAATGAAAGAAATTGTAAATAGGCTTTCTAAATATTGTATATTTATATGTGTTATGTGTATTGGGGACACTTATTGCAAGAATTTGCACCATTCCAATTTTCAGTCAGATGTCTGTGGTTCCTGTAATTCCACAAAAACTAAGGAGGAGGTCACTAATCACAACTTATGCTTTATCACATAAGACCTTTAGCCATTAGTGATGTCATCAAACACTTAATTTTAGTGGAATTTCAGGAAGCACAGACGTCTGATTGAAAATTGGAATAGTGTGAATAATAAACAGAGTCTCCGATACACATAAAAATTTTAGAAAACCACTTTACAATCCCTTTTAACTGAATGCATATTATATATTTTACTGAATTGTTTGATTGATGAAGCCCTTGCTAGTTATATAGAAAATATAAAAGAAATTTCTACCTTAATATAAGTCTGGCAAGCTGATAATGGTAAACCAACTAAACTGATACCATTAATAGATATAATCTGATCTCCTATATTCAACTGTCCACATCTTGCTGCTGGACCAATAGGTGACATATTGGCTAGCACTACAGTAGGTACCATAGATCCCCATCCTGATTCTACTATAACTACGCCTAATAATTCATTCTTAGCTTTCGGAACTATCACCTGAAACAAAAATATTTAACAAATGTACATCTCATACAGACACAGAAAGAAGAAGAATATCGGTGGACCAAATGGACTGCCTTTTTTAATTAAATTCCCCTTAAGAACTATCAAAATTCATTATATGAAGTTAGTTGCGAATGAGCAAATACTTTTGCCCTTGGGTTTCAAAGAGTCCAATTTTCTTGGAGGAATGATTTTACAATCTCTTTGTGTTAAATAAAACTGTGTTTTGCGGAGCTTGAGGCATGACCTTACTGCTTTAAATTCAAAGAACTTTGGCTAGCTTAGATGCTCTGTTATTGCTGTAGATGATAAGTTATATGATTCCACTAAACATTACCGCAATACTTAACCCAAATGATCCAATTAATGAATCATAAACTGCAACGCAAATTCTGAACCCAGATGATCCAATTAATGAATCATATCTAGTGAAGATCATTTTATATCATGTGGGTCACCATAGGTCTGCCATTATTCCAAGTTTATCGTGTTACAGTACACAAAACTTACCTCTTTATGATGATCTTTATTGGCAAATAAATTCAGTTCTTCACCATAAATTTCCTGTTGATTTAATACATCTTGATAGTCCATTTCTTTTAAAAGACCAGGATCTTCGATACCATTGGCCTTCAGGAACTCCATATAGGCTACCTGAAAGGCCTGCCCAATAGACTGGGCAATGAGTTGGGCCTGAAAATACAGAAATAAGATTTAAAGGTATATCTCCTTAAATGTTACTTGAAAATATAGATGGTTTTGAAGGTGTTACTATTTTTTTAACGTAAAATATATTATTCACTTAGCATCACTTTTGAATGATTGACATTTAAGTTTAAAGTTAACAAGTGGTGTTGTTTTAATCAATGATAATTAAGTGTTTGTATTTCTGTTTCTGTGGTTAGAGTAAATTTTTCTTGTTGAATGTGTACGTTATGATGTCAACTTCATTGCAGTGTTCAAGATTTATGCTGCGGACACATAAACGGTCTTGTAAGGCAATCTTTCTCACGAACTAGAGTCTTGTCAACAATTTCACTGACCGGTTGTGGGCAAGACAAGACAACAAAAAATATCCAATTAGTTGTTTTCCACGATGTTGATAATCATGTGCGGATCATGCAATTGAAAGAGATAATAAATCTGATCTGAAGATAACAATCAGTGACTTTTTAAACTGTTTTGATATTATAAATCATGTTGTCAACTTGATAATCTTGTCATGGCATCACGGGCACGTGAGATTTTACTCAAGATTCAAGTCAGCAAAAAAAATCAGTGACAAAGACTGTTTGTGTGCTTGATGCATTAGTCAAAATTGAGTGAAACTCTAATGAAATAATTAAAGCATTCTGAAATGACACATCTTCCAAACGGGCACCAATCTAGCTTCCTGTTCAATTTCAAAAGAAACAGTTTATGTGACAGTTCTGAAAAATTAGTTCTGCTAATGAATTCTTCTGAGCATTTTCTTATTTATCAAGCCTTTTAAAGGCAACCATGTATTAGAAGAAAAAAAGACATGCAATCTATATTTAGTCTTGAGTTTCAAGTTGTTTAAAAAGACGTGTCAATAGAATTTTCTTTTGGTGACAAGCTCATGTCATTTGGTTCACATGTACTTGACAATCCAGATTTTGTGATTATTGTTCGCAAAGTATGAAATATGGATAAGAATGTTTTCACTACGCCTACTTGTTTTTTTAATTTGTTTTAATTTGCAGAACCTTTAGGAAGAATTTATTTTTTGTCAAAGAGAGAATAGATTTATTTCAACAAAATTTTGTCTTAAATAAAATAGGATTTTAAATTGATTAAAGCATAAAGCAATCACCCTGCAATAAGAGAAATTTTGCGAAAACAGACACACCAGATTTGCTACTGAGGCAGGGGCATGCAAATAGTTTCTTTTCACCCACTGGAAGGATTATTTTCAGCATCCAAAGTGGTTGGACCTTTCTTTGTCTGAAGGTACTACGTCTAGTGCTTTGTGGAATACAGGATCAAGGACAGTAGAAAATAGAAGAAGCGAATATTTATGAGGTATTGATAATCCAGCACAAAACACCGTGAATTAAAGGTAAGATCTTCAACTGTGTCATACTCATTAATAACCAACAATGTTATTGCAATAAAGATAGCTTGCCAGGCAAGGTAATATACTCCCACTGGCAGCTTTGATTTTAAATAAAAATATTTAGCAGTACAGTAACAATTACCAGTATGAAATATTCAACCTTCAGACATACACTTCTTTTGAATTTTTTGAGGTGATACTGAATAATATTACCAAGTTTCATCAAAATCCATCAAGAATTGTGCCTTCTAGAGTGTTTATGTGCTACAAATTGAATGCATTTTCGATAACAAGGGCAATAAATCATACTAATTATTATTCAAATATACTGATTTTCAATAGGGTTCATCCTTAGGTGACAACAAACACTCACACCAGGTTTCGTCAAAATCTGTCATAAATTAAACCTTCTAGAGCCTATATAAGCTAAAAATTGAACACGTTTTCAAGAACAAGGGCAATAACTCATACTAATTATTTTTCTATTTTTCTGATTTTCAATAGGGTTCATCCTTAGGTGATTACTAACACACATTGTGCCTTGTAGAGTGTTTACTAGCAATTGTGGACGGACGGACGGACGGACATGGGTGATGACAATATACGCCCTCCATTTCATGTGTAATAAATAAAAAAACTTGACATCAAATACCATCCTTTAATACCTAACATTTCGTAAAATAAGTTTTGACTTCATCAGGGGAAGAAACAAACTACAAATGGTGGAAGGCAGTTAAGACTGACATACAGAGTCAAGTCTATGAATCCACAGAGTTTCTGCACTGTCTAATTTGCTTTTGCTTTCATATGGAATTTTATCAAGAAGTGTGCATTTATAATCATGACCAGGTTGGTTAAAATGGGGGGCAATATGAGGAGCTTTATGAACCTTTTTCAATTTAATGTTGCTCCTATGTTTGTTATGTCTAAAGACACAGATAATTAATCTGTATATAATTAAATTGCCCACAATACCACAATATAATTAAGTTGCTATTAACATTTCTTTTGTTATGATAGACATAACAAACATAGGAGCTCCATTTCATGTGGGCATATAAAAACACATGAATGGTTGAATTGGAAATTCTTAATCAAATTATGATAAGAAGTTTGTATGAAGTCAGAGAACAGCTACATTCTCTAAGGTCAGACAATTTGATACTCTTCTTAAGAAATAATAGTAACCATTTGTAAGTCATAATGATAAATAATGTCTGACATTAAATATGATAAGTCATCTGTTAACCCTTCCAACACACTATATCATCATATTTTAATACAAAAACTATTGACAGATTTTCTTTAATATTACATTTTCTTCAAATATATCAAAATGATATATAACTTGTATCAGGTTCAATCTGCTTTATATACAAAGCAATTTAACATTCTTGTACTAACTTTAGAATTCATCTTTAAGGTATGTTTCTGTTGTTCAATGACATGGTTTTCAAAGGGATCAATAGAAGCTTTCTCTAGGCTATTTTTGATACGGCAACTCTTATGCTAGATATGTATTTTGCTTATAGTCTTATATCATTATCTAGTGAAGTTTATCTAGAATCATAGTAACTATAAATAAGGGAATTAGTCTTCATGATAAAAACTGAAAAGAAATGGCATGCATCTTTCTACTGTTTTGCTTCAGATTGAACTAGAACATGAAAAAACAATGGGTAAATTTGCCCTGATAGTGATAGAGGCATAAGTCTACCAGATTTCCAGTGTTATTGTTATTATAAGAATGTTTCTTTTGGAGATATGTAATCAGCAATGGCAGGTGTGGAGCCAGGCAAGATATGCTTAATCCTGAAGCCACTTCCCAATATGAAATACTGTCTCATTTATGATTGATATACTTTCTCATATAAAAAGTTTATTACCAATATATCGCCAAACTCTTATTTTGGATTTCTGGTTATGTTTTGCATTTCGAACAGTTCTTCCATTCATTTCTGGTAAATTCCTAAAAATGACCTAAACGGCCTTGAAAATGGCATTTATGTCCTGGAAAATTACACTATTGTCACATCTGGTGGTTCATTTCAATCTAATTTTATGGTTTTGCCAGCTTCAATCTTATATTTAATTATTGTTATGTCTAAATAACTGAACGTTATGTTTTTGTATGTACTATTTTGGTTGTGTATGTACAGTACACTGTATTTAAAGGACAGAAGATATTTCAATTAAAAAGCATCACAATTATCAGGCATACCAGTATGGAACAAAAATTAATAGAGGAAATGGAAAAGATTAGCTGGTGAGAGTCAATGGGGACACAGGCTTATGTGGGGTTATTTGACTATTTTAAGATGCTATGAAAGTCATTTTCTACATATAAATCTATTCATCCCTTAAACCAAATTTTGAGTGGTTTCATTCGCAAATAAAAAAAAATACCACTAGCCAGGAGAAATTGAGGAAATCTGGGATCCCTGAGTTATCTTACTATTTTCAATATGGAATTAAGCTAAAAGCATGCTCTATAATATGAAGTTGAAATAATAAAAGAAGAAAGTTATCTAAAAGAATATGCACGATCACATATTGATTTAATGAGCATACAGTTACTAAGCCTGTACATCTTAACATGTATACTTTTAAGACAATTAATCAATATAATCTCATAATCAGGTAGTCTGCTAGCTCAGCTAACTAATGACATGAAATATTCAATCATCAAGACCAAATTTCACATTCTTATTTTCTCTACCTCAAAAGTCTAATGAAGATTGACAAAGCAGTTAAATTCAAGTTAATATTCGTTCAGTATCTGAAGATGTATCAACTAAAAAAAACATGCAAATCAATGAAATATATTTGTATTAATGAAGAGAGTGATAGGTGTTAGGACTGTTGTACCAACTCTATGTGACAAGCATTTTACACAAAATCTGCAGGGTTCAATTTAAGCAGTATGGCTTTGAGGTTCAAAATGACCCCTTTTGCCATCCAATATTTCCTTTGATTAGCCAAAATCAAAATCTATCATGACGAACTTCAAATCAAGTCAAATTGTAGCATACAAAATTTTGTGACTGTCCTTAACCTATCCTGACAACTAGACTCTTGCTTCAAGACGGTTCACATTCTTGCCAAGGCAAAACTGTACATTACCATTCCACGGTATAGTAATATCTCAACTTATACCAGATTCAAATTCCAGATCTTTAGATTAGTGAGCAATCAACAAACTAATTCAGCTACCAAGACTTTCAATATTTTCATTAAACTAAGATACTACAAAAACTAAAACCAATTTTATGAAAAACTGGTCACTTCAGATATAGTAGTGTGTACCAAGATATTATTTTTTAAAGCTCTTGACAATATTACTAAATTGAATTAAATGAGAAAATTAATGGCTATAGCTAGCAGCGCTTGTAAAAGATAACTAGCTAGCTGTCAATTTTATCACTTATTTCATCAAGTAAATGGGGGCTAAGTAGCAATGCCATACAAACACACAGTTTCCTGCTACTACCACATTTCAGGAATATTAATTTCCTGTAGACATTTCACAGTTGCTTTCTATTAACTTGCTCTTTTCTCTTTTGTTTTAGGGTCAATAGTAAGACATATTGATACTATCTGATCAGTTTATAATTCA